ATTTTACACATAGTCCACCAGAATGCACCAACACAAAAGTCAGAGACTTCACATGAGATTTGGGCCATCTTCAAGCAGATTACTTCCTACTCACGAGCGCCCCCTCTGGTGGGGAAACTTTTTTCAGGGATACAAACTTTTTCAGAACACCGGTAGACGGCAGCCATTACAAACGTTTGTTGTTGTTCAAGCAGCAGCTCGGTCACACGCTAATGTCATTAGTTCGTTATCATTACTGAGCTGCAGAGCTGCCCACCCCCCCCTCCCTCCCTCTATTTTTTTTCCACATCATGTCCCCTGCCTGGATGTTACTATCTCGTGGAGGAGTGTCAGAGGTGAGCTTCTTTCAACCGCTTTTTACAATGAGGTCTCATGTCCGGACTCAATAATTTTGCCGATATTTCAGTTAAAATACATAAGTAAAAATATTTATCCAAGTATAATACTACCCCCCAACTTAATGGATGATTTTATGGATTAAAATTTACATATTATACTCTAATAAATATGGTAAATGAAGGGGAGGCACGTGATTTTCAAGGAATGGAGGGAGGRAAAAAAATGACAAGTTTTATACACAAATGTTTTATTTGGTTAAATAAAGCATTAATCTAACAACAGGAGGAGGTGCGGCGGTTCAGAAGTTTATCGATTCACAGACAAAATAATGCAGGTATTTAAAACATACGGTGATGACAGCAATCCTAAACCAACTCTGATCAACTGTTTCAAACAGGAAACACCCAAAAATTAAAAGTAAAAAATACAAAAAGACAACAAGATTTCTTTTTCAACTCCAATTTTTAAACTTTAACAGGAGAAGCTGAATGCGAGCGCACGCTAAATAAAAACTGACCCGAAGGTGCTGATAGAGACAATTAAGAGGAGAAAGYGATCCCTGTGTATTTACACAACATACTCCAACTCGTAGCGGACGTAGACGTTCTTCTCATCGTTGTAGACCTGTGGATAGTGAGCGATCAGGGCATCCTGAGAGCCGATGTAGATGGAGTTGTAGATCTTCCAGTAGACGTCTCTCACTTTGCGAGCTGGGTGGAACAGACCCTGTGGACACAAAGAGCACAACACTGAGGTTTGGATCCAACAGGACAGCTGTGCCCACTGTGCTCTAGGTCAGAGATTCTTAACCCATGGGAGCGCCACCTTGAGGGCCTCAAAAGAACAACAGTTTTTAACTTTGGGCCACGGGACCACATTGGCTGTGTCCAAAACGACAGGACGGGTCCTCCGGAGGACCC